ATAGAAGAAAAAATAAAGACTATCATAATGTCAGTCTCAGCTCTATTGTTCTTGTCGAGGAGAAGAGTGTATTCAGAAACATGTCTAATCCTGTCTGTCCTCCCAATAGTCAGTTGCTTTAGTATTTCTTTATTAGGTTCTACTCCATGGTGTAGATCTGTACTATATGCTGACATAACTGTTTTGTTTCTTGTAACTATTCATTGCGATACTTAGTAAACAAGTTTTAGAATAAATAATATGCTGACATAACTTGTTCACCGTTTCATGTAATGGTTCATTGCTTGATAGTATGAGTATGCTTAGCTTAAATTTTTATTTAAACTAATTAAGTTTGTTTAAGAATAAATAATATGCTTGACATGTTCACTGTTTCATATAATGGTTCAGCAAGCAATACTCAAGTGAGACCAACATGCTCCACACATCTTATGTGAGACCACATGCTCCTTGGCCAAGGATTGCCAAGATGACGAGTCAGTTCAAATAAAAACCGAATTCCACGTGTTTGTAAATGCTAGTGTCTGTTCAAGATACAATTTACCAGTCTTCTGACCATGATCAGACGTACTATTTGTTCTTTCATACACTTTGGTTGATCTATTGTTGGGTTTAAATCACGTCTCATTCTGGGTCCTTTTTCACAGAATGCTGCTTACCTAGCCGAGAAACAGGGACTAGCTGTAATTGATGCAGTTTTGGATGCTTTGAGCAAAGCTGGTAATAATAATCAGACGGCTAAGAAAATTATGGTAACATCTAGTGAAAGTGCTGTTTTGAATAAGTTCAAGAATAGCCGCAATTATGAGCTTGTCTACGTGGTCGATGAGGATATCCGCGACGTTACAAACTCTACAATTTTGGAGATCAAAAAGTTCGCCAGTTCTGTTGTTATCACGAAAAAATCCGTATTTCCTATTGATAAGGCATTTCTCACCTTGCAAACGGATGTGGTCTCTAAGTTCCAGGCCTTTGGATTCCATGTTTATGTCCAAAAATTCAGAAATGAGTTTTTGTCTCAACCTTGGGATTTCTTCTCGGATGCTTATGTGGAGATCAACACACATGTTTCTTTCATGAAAATTAATGGTGTCATAACGGACTTCCCAGCTACGGCAGCTAAATATAAAAGTAAGTTTATTAGTAAACTTGTTTATTTATTTCATTGTTCATTTGTGCAGTCTGTTGTCTTATCAGTCTAGAAATAGTAATCTATGCCATATCTATTCAGTTTTTCTTTATGTCAGTATCCATTGCCATTCTTAGGTTTTTTTTTTTTTTTTACTCAAATGTATTTGATGTCACCTTAAGTTCACTTCTAATAGCTCTCTTAAGCTTGAGCTTAGCATGTTTTCATTCACATTTCTCATCAACTTTTAGCTTACTTCATTACTCAAGATGATGGACAGAGACATTTCGTTTCTGGTTTCTTAGCTGAAAAGTCAGTCCTAATTGGATGTCATTAACACACCCTCTCAACACTTTCATGCTTATGGTATTTGCTATCGTGTACCATTCCCAGGGAATCGATGTTTAGGGTATACAAATTTGCCATTATACATGAGCCCTGTTCCACCTGGCGGCCTTCTTGGCCTTATGGAACGTCAAAATTTGCCACCAGCCGTGGCTCCATACCCTGTCCTGTCAGAGAATGACGTGGTCGAACCACCTCTACCTCCAGTTGTGGAGAAGCCCCCGACAACGAACACTGGCAATGGCTCTATAGCACCAGCATCAGTTCCCACCCCACGAAATGGACAGCCTACAATTGTTGCAAGCATGATCCTAAGTAGGATTGCTGTCCTTGCAACCCTTTTGCTTTGCTGAGACAACCTCGACGACCTTTTTTTTTGTCGTTTCCATATCTGAAGTCGAGCATCGGACACACTGGCCACGATTTTCGTTGTCGAATTTGTAGGTACTTCTATTCTTTCCACTGCATTTGTTTTTATGGGAGATTGGCAGTCAGCTAATGAGAACAAGGGTGCGATTTATTCTTTACAATTACATTGAATGGCATCTCTTGTTCATGTTGTAAATTTTGTTCGTGCAATTATTGTGTACATCTTTTGTTCATGTTGTAAATTTTGTTTGTGCAATTATTGTGTACGAGAACATTTACCCAAAACTCGCACATTACAATCACTCTTATTTACATTTCAGTGAATTCTGAAGCTTTTTAACATTTCATCAAAAAACTTAGACGGGTAGAGATAGATCATGTATTTATATAGATTGTCTTCGACGTGCCGGGTTTAATTCTACTATCAAATGATAACACGTGCTCTTTTTTTTTTATTGGAATGGTTGGATGGGTTTTGAATTCAAATCTTTAGCATGATATACCCCGTTTGTGCTCCGTTAAAATTATAATTTATGGGGAAAAAAAATCATAAATCAGGTGTTAAGTATCATCAAATCAATTTTCAGGTCTTAAGTTTAAAAATGTAAAAATTAGGTATTTATTAATTAATTAAACATAATAAGATCACAATTATACAATTAATAGTCACATATACATAATTATAGATTTTAATTTATTTATTGGTCACATATTATCAATATAATTGATCACGAATTATTTCAAGATTACAAATAAAAAAAAATTTATGAATCACGATTTATTTTATTGGTCACGGATAAAAAAAATGAAAATCTTAATTTATCTATCAATTATATATTTTTATATTTATTGATTATAAATTATTTTTTAATCACAAATTATCAAATTTTAAAGTCAAGTGTAAACGTAATATGCACTAAATAGTGGATCACATACCTTCACTACCAACACTATTACGACAGCCACGGCCACTTACGCACACCCTCACCTTGTCACTGTCGTTATACCACAACACCACCGACACCACAACATCACCACCGACACCAAATCGCCACCACCAAATCCAATCTACTACCAACAAAAACCATGACAACCACCTTTATTAGATCTCCAGCCACCAATAACTACCTTCACCACTATTGCACTACAACTACTGCCAGTAACAACCTAACAATCAAAAACCCTCGCCATCACCTCAAATCCACAAAGAACAAATAACAGACCGAAGGTCTTATGAGTGGTTGCCACCAGATTGCCGTCTTGGAAGTGGGTGCCATTAGATCGTCATCTGCGATGCGACATCGTGAGCAGATAATAAGCGGCGCTCACTCCCCCTCACCCGTCCTCGTCGTGAAATGTGACGCGCAAAAAAGCATGTGAAGAAACAAAAAATGGTCGCCGTCAATGCTGAGAAGAAGGAAAAAAATGCAATGAGGAAAGAAATCATCGATGAAAGGTAGCGATTGTGGGAGTGGGGCAGTTGGAGGGTGAATTAATTTAGGGTTTGGGTAGTGAATGTGGGGTGAGTAGATTTTATGATAATACTATTAATATAAATAATTAAATTAATACTTGATATTTGAACAAATAAATTTTATATTTGATTTATGAAATGTATTTTTTAAATATATGTTGTGGTGTAATTTTCTCATCATTTTTTTTCTTATCAATCATACATTCTCAATAAAATAATATTATGCATAAATTCAAAACTTTTTTTTTTCTTTTTAACCAAATATTTTTCAAAAAGTTTCTATTCCAAAATGCTTTTTTCCTAAAATTTAATTAAAATGCAGGCCAAACAAGATCATAGCCCCCATTTTATGGAAATGAAAATGTGTGGAATATTGATTTTTTAAAAAATGAATGGTTGAAAAAGAAGAATTTTTTTTTGATTTACGTGTAATATTATTTTATAAAAAATTATGTGGTTGAAAATAAGAAAAAAAATGAAATAAAAATTAATGGAGGCCAAACGGGGGCTATGTTAACTAGGCTCAAATTGTTATATGTATTAAGAAAAATGCTAAACGACCCGCGGGGTTGACAACAGGGCTGACCATCCTCTCACATGCCGAGATGGGTCCCATTAAATAAAATAATACCGACCTCGCCATGTGTGTGTGAGGTGTCAACCCCGCGGTCAAGTTCGTAGGCTATGTAGCACAACCCATGTATTAATTTAAATTGTGTCTTCAACAATGCTACATGAAAAGAAAGTCCTTGTTATCTTTTATTTTACTGTTTATTATTCAAGTCCGTCGCAATGTATTTATAAAAATTTGAATTTTTAGCCTAATGAAGAAAAAATGTAATTTAATTATAAAATTTCAGCAATTGATTCATAGAAGAATTTGAAATGGGCTTTCTATTCACAACTCACAAGTGAATTTTATTTGGTTCAACTTTCATATAAAAGATTAATATAACAATTTAATATTAAATAATGAACTAAAAATATTTAAACCCTACTTGGTGTGAATTAATATTAAGTCCCTTTTTGGCTTAAATTTTAATCAGATTTTAATCTAAGTCAAAGTCAAAGTCAAACAATCAATATTAATCACATTTTTCATAAATTCTAAAACTTTTTAACCACTCATTTTTCTACCAAATTCTAATTTTAATTCCCACCAAACACTCAATTTTTTTATAAACTTTGATAAAAGATAAAATATATAATTGAAAAGTTATAAATTTCAATTAACATGTAATTAAAAATAATTGCTGATTTTGACTTTGATTAAAACTTAGATTTTAATCCGGTGGCTCGACAATGAACCTAGTAGTCAACAATAAAGAATGTCCTAAAATTGGTATTATTGTTATTCTAATAATATAACCACATGCTCCTACAGTAGATTTCAAACATCTACGAAAAATCGAGCTATACATTGGCGATTCATGAAATTGGACACCTAAGGGTCGTCGTAATTAATGAGAAAACGAGTGCTGTGTGAAGATGGGATAAATTATGAAAGTTGAAAATAACATGGTTGAAAAGAGCGTAGAGTAGAAAAAATCAAATAATTTTGTAAAGAGAATTAAAGCATGGGCAACATCCATGAATTTTACCAACAAAAGAAGCCAATAACATGACATCTCCAAATGAGGAATCTCAATTTATGCTCATAGTTTGGCTTCTTTTTCTTCCACCTTAGAAAAGGAAAATTTATCCATTAAATACTTTAATTCTTCCAAGACAAAAATAGTCAGACGATGCTTGATGTGCTCATAAACACACAAAAGTATGATGTCTGCTGTCGGTGGGTAGGTAGAAATTATTAAAGGAACATAATATACTCCAGTGATGGTCTACTACGAACACAATTCAAACCATTTCTAGAAAAATAAACATAATCCTCCTTGAAAATTTCACCAGTGCAACAATTGAATAGGTCAATCCAACACTAGAAAGCTCAAGCAAAAGAAAACTAAAAGGAAAATCCGAGGGCAACGTTTTGGGTGGGAAACTTTCACATGACCAAGACAGGTTTAGGCAGCACCAGCACCCTTCCCTTTCTTCCTCTGCAGTTTCTTCATGTAAAATTCCAACTCTTTGCCCTCCAAAATATACCTGATCAAAATACATTCCATAAAATCTTTTTGAATAATAAAAACAAAAGGACTTTAAATTGCAGACCATTCCCAATAGAGAAACCTAGCAAGCCTAAAATCTCGATGAATTTCTTGCAAATCAAATTTAAGCAATAGCCCATAAAACTTCATCCAATGAAAAATTTCCAGCTATTTAGTACATAGGATAAGGTTCAAAGTCAGCAAGCTGCAGTCATAGCCGGTATCCTAGAAATGTCAATGTGGTCAGAGAACAATATAGAGTAATCCACACATTTTTACATCTATGTAGCTTTAAATATCATAAAAGAAAGTACCATTTCGTATACAAGCTAAAACAACACATTCAAACTCATGCAAGTTTAGACCCTTGATCTGAAACTAAGACACTTTGCAGTGGTTTAATAAGTGGTTTAATAAATTGACTACGAAGATAAAAATCTTTGTCTGGGGAGTTCATTTCAGCAAGAATAAACGGTACCAAAGCGTAACTATAAGTAGACATGCAAATGTGTTTGGATTGATGCCAAGGACGAGAAGTAGAAGAGATTCAGAGGATAAGACGTACCCATCAGCACGGCCACACTGGCCAGGACGCGAGGAGATTGCAGCTAATAAACGGCCACTGCCAAATTGCTCCTCCACATGTGGGTCAAGTTTGCGATCCTGTTGACGCTTTTCAATTTTTCTCTTGACGTGGTTGCTCTTCTTTGCCTCTTCAGTAGCAGCAGTCTCAGTCTCCTGAAGCACGTTCAAACATTATGAATCAAAAGAAGTGACAATAGGTACTACTTTTGTTTATCTATTTTTGTTTTGGCCCTTTCAGATTATGCAGACAAAGTTCATAACAGTCTCATTTCGTCCCAATATTAGGCTTCAAAATCTTCCCTTTCAGAAAATCGATGTTTTCTGCAATCAAACAACATTCATACAAGTAAAGAATGCAATGCGCTATACTATCCACTGTTCTTGATACTTAACTCGTTAAAAGAATTTTTTTGCAACTAGTTCTCCGCATTAATATCACATTTTTCAAAAAATTACTATTCCTTTCATTATAATTTGACATAATGGAGCCCAAACAGGGGCTAACTTATAATACTGCAAGCAAGATTTATTGTCAGCGTCAATGCTCGATACATAGTTCAAGTTGCTAATAGATATCCTAATACATTAGTCATTTAAACACAAAGTCCAATGCAATCATAGAGCCTAAAGCTTTAAAATAAAATTAAAAAAAATAAAAATAAAAAAATAGTAACCTAGCATATAATGACAACTGAAAGAAAACTACAATGTAATGTAACATTAAAGCAGGAATAAACTAAGAAAGTTCGCACCTCTCCTTCCTTCTTGGCAGCAGCCTTCTTCTTCCTGCCAATATCAACTCCATAGTGCTGCAGATACCACTGCTTGAATGGTGCAGCATCCACTTGCACAATAGCACTCTTCACCAAAGTTTGAGTCCTCACCAACTCATTATTTGACGCATTATACACCACATCTAGGATACGAGTCTTCCGGGTCACAGCTTCACTTCCCCAAGAGTAGTTCCCTGTATCCAGCCTCAGGGCACGCCACTTCACATTACCTCCTCTGACCCTCACCCTACGCACGGTCTTGTTACTTGACAACTTTGTGTTTGCTGGTTGTCTTCCAAGCTCATACCTTGGAAGAGAGTATGATTATTAATCAAAAGATATTTTAGAAACATGATGGATCCAGTATAAAAACATGTAAATTAGATCTCCTTAGTAATGTCTGCATCAAAATATTTAAAAATCAAAACTCTCATGCCAATTAATATTTTTAAACCAAAACGATGGTTATGTTTGCACGTAAGGATTATTAGTTCATAATCAAAATCCATCAACATTCAACTAAAACATCAACGTTATTTTTAGAGTTGAGTTCAAACATTGAAACAAGAATCTGACGTAATAGATGGCACCGATTCAGAAAAGTTGTAGTTTACTATGACAAAAAGTGGCACATCATCTTGAAAATGAACGTATTTCACACCACACTTTATAATCTGGAAGACATCTATCAATCACACAAAGGAACCGAAAAAATTACATAAAATAGCATCAAATCCCAAGGAAGATTCATGATCTGGAAGTCATCTATCAATCACACTAAAGAACCGAAAAAATTACATAAAATAGCATCAAATCCCAAGGAAGATTCATGATCTGGAAGTCATCTATCAATCACACTAAAGAACCGAAAAAATTACATAAAATAGCATCAAATCCCAAGGAAGATTCATGATCTGGAAGTCATCTATCAATCACACTAAAGAACCGAAAAAATTACATAAAATAGCATCAAACCCCAAGGAAGATTCATAATCTGTTAGTCATCTATCAATCCCCCAAACGAACCGAAAAAATTACATAAAATAGCATCAAATCCCAAGAAAGATCAATGTACTCAAAATAAAAAATGCAATTAAACAGACATTAAAAAACCACAGCGAATTACAATAAACGATGCAACAAAGAGTTTTGAGCACGGGACTAATCTTTGTACACACTGAACACAGAAGCCTAATAACTCAGAATAACTGCCAATGCAAACAGGATTCGAAGTTACTAGGAAGGAACACCTATGAAACTTACTTTCTCTTCTTTCTCCACGCCTTCTTCTTGCCTCCAGTTGCACGCCTCTTGTGCATCGAATCCCGTGAAATACCTGCATATGATCACAGTTCGTTCATATTTTTCCTTCCAAAATTAAGATTAATCGCTAAAGTCATACTAACTAAATTAATTGATCTTTTACCCATGGTTTCCGGCGGGGGCTCCTACTGTTCCGTTGAACCTCAATTGCCTGAACGGCGGTGCAAATGCAAACCCTGTATGGCAAATAAAGTGACTTAAGTAGGTGAGAAGGGTTTTTATACCTCATGCTCAAAACCCTAGTTGAGTTAATTGACAATATTGCCCTCTCCACTTTTGTTTCGGATAATGTTTTCTAAGATTTTGTTACTTTACGTAAAATGGTACATAAAATATTTACCGAAAATGATGTGGTGGAAAAAAAATTAACCGTGTTTTAAACTAATAATTAGTAGATTGACATGTTTACATTATGTATTTCTTTATATAAATCATAAAAGCTTTGCTACTTTAACACTTAGGGTGCACTTTGGGTAACAGAATTGCCAAATGCACCTCCAAATCTTAATGTCCACGTAGTAAGGTCAATGTTTTTTGTCTTTGTCTTACTTCATCCACTTGATCCTCGTGTCATTTTATAATTTTTATTACAAATGCATTCCCAAATTTTTGTTATGAATGAGTAGCATTATTCAAGGTTTGTTCGGTGGTTATTATGAAAATTAATTTTTTGATCGTTAGAGAGAAAAGTGAATTCTAACTGTGAGTAAAAAGTTAAAAAATGACGGCTGACTATTGAAAGTAACGATCAAAAAATTGATTTTTCGAGGTGAAAAATCAGAATCAAATGGGTGATCAAATTATTAATAGACCCACAAAAACTATATGAATTCTTGGAGCTTTTTCTCTAAATGACTAATTTAGCCCCGTCTTATTTTAAAAAATTTCTCGCCTACCAAGTCTCCTTTAATAGATTTGATCATTTCATTAAAGCAAACAATTATCCTTCTGTGTGTTATATATGTTAGGTAGGTCATGAGGTTGATTTAGTGGCAATTTCTATTATATTATGTCAAGTTTAATTTTAAAATTCACATCAACATTATTGAATATAATTCCTCTATATCACGTCAAATCTTCAGGTTGACAAGTGTTAAAGTACCACATGAATAACCACATAATTAAGATCAAATATAACATAATAGTTAGGTAGCTTAAACCGATATCAAACACTTCTTGCTCAAGAACCCTCAAAAATAAACAATTATATCCGATCACTATAGGTTATACTGCAAAGCTCGAAGGAAATTATTTGCCTATGAAATATATAATATTAGATAAGTGTCACATTTATATAATTGTCCACATAATGGTGTCCATAATTACACATGACACTGGATCCAACCTTTAATTCAAATCTCACACTTGCACATCAACAACCAGATGATTGTCACATCACATTATGGACACCGTTATGTACAAGTAGAATTTTTCATAATATTATAGAAAACAACCAACTAAAGGAACACAACAAATGTTAAGCAACTTTAGATATGCTCCATTGTGAGATATACAAAAACTCTAGACGGTTGAATTTAATCACCGAATAAGATTTATATTCCTCTACTCTATACCCAAATATCCCATGAAATAGTTATTATCCATTCACAAGTACAAAATAAAACAAATTAAAAAGTTCACAAACTAATAGAACCAAATGCTAGGACCTATACCCTCAAGTACTCAACAACATTGTGGTGATGCAACAAGGTGTTGAACCTCACATCAAGTTGCAGCAGCTGATGCCTTCACTGATAAGGGGTGGCGCATGAGCCGCCGAAAGCCGGCCAGGTTTCGAAGTAGCATTAGTTCTCGAAGCAGGCGGCGGCTTTTGATGTTGCAAGTGCTTATGAGCCTGCTCAAAGGTCAGCATATGATCACTAGTGTTGGTTGGTGCACGAGGCGGAAGCCAAATGGGCCCTGAAGTGTGCTCATTCATTCTCGAAGCAGGTGATGGCTTGTTATCATGCAAGTGCTTATGAGCCTGCTCAAAATTCAGCAAATGATCACGAGTGTCGGGTGGCGCACGAGGCGGAAGTCGGCCAGGTCCCAAAGTGTTCGCTTTCGTTCTCGGAGCAAGCCACGGTGGCTTGTGATCATGCAAATGCTCATGAGCATGCTCAAAATTGTGCATCCGATCAAGAGTGTTGGGATCAACATGTTTCTGGTTGTGATCTTCATTTGATGGCAACTTGGGTCGAGGAGGATTCCCGTTCTGGATATATCTGTCCGAGTCAAAGACATTTGAATCTAACATATGCCCGTAAACGTGCAATATATATTTAAGATTTTAGACGAGAAGGTTCAAAATACCGTCCATAGCTTCCAGGCGCTACATTGGCTGTCCGATTCGACATAAATAAATTGCTTGAACACTCTCCAAACTGAAACCAACATAATTGTGCTTTTTTCCCTGATTTTCCAAGCATTTTTAAGAGTAAATCGGGATCCACCGTACCAGAAATTTCAACGTGTCCCTCTGGATCCATTCTGAAATTATGTACTCCTACATAAAATCATTATCAGAAACAGATTAACGCATAATATTGAACAGCACAAGGAACAGGTCGAGTAACTTTTTTTTTTTTATACAAAACCGAACCTTGAATCTTGCTCAAAATTTTTGCAACAGTCTTTGGCCATTGAGTTTTGGTATTCACCTTCACAATACAAGTCTGCAAGATCATAATCCAAGAAATTAAATATTGTGAAACATATTAGCAAGAAATTCATTTAAAAAAAAAAAAAACGAAGAGGCATGTGAATAAATAAATAATTATTTAACCATGAATGGATAATATTTCTTCACTTGCTCGAGTTGAGAAATTGGATCCATTGACAAGATTAACGAACAAATACAAAGAAATCGTAATAAGGCTTTTATTAAGAAATTTTTTTTTAATATATAAATGGAAATGAAATCTTGGGTTTAAAATTGGTGCTGGAAATTTTGGAAATTAATAATAAAAATGGTCTCCGTTTTATTTATAGCATATTAATTTGTTACTTTCGGTAAGGGAAAGATAATTAAATATTATCTTCTGCAAATTTTTTTTTGATTTATTAATTAATAATTAAGCTTTAGCTTTCATAATTAAGGTAAGTGATTATGGTTGCAAGATTGTAATGTTCAAATTCCGCCATCAATCTTTTCGTTTCTGTATTGAAGCGTAGATCGAGCTAATGATAAAAAAAGTCAAGAATTAATCTATTTATACAATCATGCTTGACAATAATGATTGACAATGTTGGTGTTGTCAAAATTCGAGCCATTGATTTAAAAAATAATGTTTAAAATGAATGAATATGATGTTGTCAAGTGCAAAATGTCGACCAAAATTGTCAAACTAGGTTGTACATATAACATCAATTCTTTAAAAGAATGTTGACGTCAATGAAATGAACTTTTGTTCGAACCCCATTATACAAAAAAATTCATTTCTCTCCAAATTCATTTTTGGTTACACATTCTTTCAATAAAATATTTTGCATGTAAATTAAAAAAAAAAATCTACTGCACTAAAACATGTTACGTATCTTAAGCATTTAAAAAAAAATTTTAAACTTTGCCAAACATTCGCTAAACTTGTGCTCAGATTTTAAGCAGATAGACCATACTTTTGAACACAATTATATTACTTAAATAATTCCGTCCAAACTCGTTTGCTTGCCACGCAATGTTTTACGTCAAACCATCAAACTTGATTTGTTTGGCACAACTTATGGGGAATAATTTTTTTTTAACTCATTTTCGATTATATATTCTTCCAAAAAAATAATTTTACATGAAAACCTATAACTTTTCCTACTTTTTCACCAAATATTCTCTAAAAATATTAGTATCTTTCTTCAAATAATATTTCCCAAACAAACGAATGACTTCATTGAAATACAAATATGAAATCAATGACCTATTTGTAATCTATTGCATGCTACCCTCCATCATCTTTAGATCAGAAAAAATAAGTCAAAAGATGAAAATAAAACTCTTATCTCATGTTTGGTACTCGTAATTTAACCGTATTAAATACGAAAAATAAGCTAAAATTTTGATTATTGTACTATGGTCGTACCGTAAATAATGTAACAACATACCTGTCATCATAAACATTTACCTCATGCAAAACTATCGTGCATTATCCCGGAATGAATCCCTACTACGACTGCGTGAATCCTCAATTAAATTGGAATGCTCACGCAGTTGACTTAATCCCGGGATAAAGAACACAATTTTGAAACTAATGTGCATAAATCAAATAAACCTGTGTAACATCAGTAAGAAACAGCAGAAGACAGCATGAACAGACATTATTTATAAACCTAGGCAACTGAAAAATTCAAACATGAAATCTGTTTCTTACACATAATCTATTACAATGTCAAATGAAGTTTTAAACTGTTCGAAAATCCAGTAAAATGAATAAGAACACAGTATTTTATTAAAAGGGAACCTAAGCCGGTATCCCTCTTATATTTCACGCCAGCAAATATAACTTCGACAAAAAAGTTCAAAACCAAAAGAATACACAAAAATCTCTACCTTTTGATGTTATACGAATGGTACTTTCTTGTTGAAGAGACGCTCGACAAATTAACTAGAATGGATCCTCCAGAATATATCTCGCAAATCTGATTTACATCTCAAGCAAATACAGAGAAAAGAAACTAAGTTATATTCAGAAATTAAACCTCATAACTGCATAAAATCCCTTGAAACTGCTTGCACTGAACACACATACTTTGAATTAAGCTCCCCCGTTAGCTTCACTGACTGACATGGTATATGTATCTTGTCGGATGTGTATGAAATTCACAACCACGTGATTTTTCAGGACTTTCTTCTCCTACAATTTTCTTCAGGTATCCAAATATTAAAATTTCCTATGCAGCAATTCCTGAATAAGCCAATATAAAAATTATTTATCAAAATAATATTTGATATATTGAAGGATGTTTATAACTATATTGTTCAACATGTATACTTAGAACATCTCCAGTGGTACTCTAAATTAAATCTAAATTGTGGTTAAGATCTCCAAAGTGGTCGCAAGCCTCTTCCATGGAGAGATGCAAAGGAAATAAAAAGTGCATTTTCCGAAGAAAAATGTAAAAAATAAAATGAAAATGAAAATTTACATCTATGTTTAGATCTACTTGTGGGGCCCACAAGAAGCAAAAAGCTACCAACCCACTTGCACCAAATTTATAAAGATCTTCTCATTGGAGAGGATTTTGGATTTAGATTTAGATCCACCAAGATGTAAATGGAGATCCACCAAGATGTAAATGGAGATCCACCAAGATGTAAATGGAGATCCACCAAGATGTAAATGGAGATCCACCAAGATGTAAATGGAGATCCACCAAGATGTAAATGGAGATCCACCAAGATGTAAATGGAGATCCAAAAGTGGTCAATTTATATCCAATTTTACATCACCATTAAAGATACTCTTACAAATTCCACAAAACTCCTTTACACGTTCCTAAAAACTCGTTGCTATCAACGTGTTTTTACCAAAAGAGGCTGTAATTTATCCGACTCATTGAAACAAATCATAACACAAGCACAGGTATTGGAAGTTCAACTTATTTGGACAACTGCTATAGTTCATGTTACATCACTTGTGTTAACCCGTTACTTCTAGATTACCTAAAATTTCTATACTTAAAACTTTTTGCCCAGCAAATTATAATAAGCTAGATTACGAATGATAATTTGTGGTTATCTTGAATGCATGAGATAATAATTATATAAAGTAAAATTTTGATGTCACAGAAGCATTAATATTTTAAAATATATAATACACGAGAAGAATATGAAGTTAGTTCTATTTTAGTATTTTCAGATTTGAGTATTTTCTTAAGTGAGGACAACAAAGCTACAAATTAGTCCAAAGAAGTAATTTATCGAACAAGTCATTCTCATTCATAATTTTCATATGAAAACAAAATCAAAATATTGATATAGTGCCTCAACTCTTACAATGTTATTTAAAAAAAATAAAAACTCGTATGGTGGGAACATAACTAATTTCAGTACCAAATACCAATAAACAGCAAAAATGTCTAACACTCCTAACGCTCAAATATTTTAGAAATAATTATTAAATACCAACATAGATAGCGTAGAACACACAATAAGTTTGAAGTATATTTTACTTACATCTAGTTACATATTCGAGTATTTCCCATAGTTGTTACAGTTACAATAGCTATACCCGAAAATTTTCAGTCTCTATTCTAAAATTTTCTCTCCTTGAGCAATTGTGACATTTTTTGTTTCATCGGCTGGCAATGGCATAGAGACCAAAGACTGGAGAACCATGACAGAAGAACAACTAAAACAAGTATCATTAATTCCTTCATGCTTCTCTTAGTAGTTGGATCAAATTTGGTTTTTAATAATATGATAAAGAAAAGGGTAATGAAATTAAACTGACAACTTTTATGATATTTCTGCTAAGAATTATAATCAAGAGTTTCATGATATTTCTGCAAATCAAGAAAGAGAAAAGATTTGAACTTCGATACTGTCAAACAAAAGTGAGTTCCACATGATACCTTTTTTAAGCTAATGTCATGAAGTAAAATATGTTATCGTTGTGAGTCATGTTATAACTTATATAGAAAAATAACTATATTATTCAAGTCTAGATTAGAAAGTGCACATATTTTCAGGAAAAAACAATCCGAATCTTTAGCACAAGTGGAAAATAGGATGAACAGGATTACCTCTATTGGATTGTCTATTTGTAATGTCATAACCCACGGCATAATCCTCAGATTCTTTAGCAGCGCCATCTTCTGGATTCCCAAGTCCATAACCAAATGAACCAGAATTATTTATCTCAGACGATGTGGTTTGCCAAGTTGGATCTCCATACACCAAGCCACTTCGGTAAAAGTCCCCATAAGATCCTTCATAAATGCCGGTCGATGCTGTAAGTGAAGATGCTGTGGATACAGCTGTTCCACCATTTCTTCCAAATCCTTCGGCTGCCAACGAAAAATTGTTTCCTCCAACTCTATAGCCAACATTTCCTCTGCCAAAACCAGAAGAACTACCCCCAAGGGGAGCGGCAATATGAGAAGTGCCCCAATTTGCACCATTATTTCCAAACACTCCAAAACCGTCACTTCTGGAACCAAAGTATGATCCGGAGTTTGCATTACTCGGAGAAGTATTCAGTCCAGTATTCCCCCACATGTTTCGGGAAGAAGAATTGAAAAGGGAATCTCCTCGGCTACTACTTGTATTGTAACCAATAGGAGTATTATACCTGCTCTGATTACCACCAAAATAGGGATTTATAATGCGCCCGTACCCAAGATTGCTACTTAAGTTCGAACCCCCTCCAAAGCCAGAATTCAACCCTTGATCCATATTCACACCCATTCCATAAGCCGGAGAACCGAATTGGGAGAGCCCAGATCGAGCACCGGCTAATGGACTATATCTACCATCTGTCCTGACTCCATAGCTCCCCAGTGAACTTAGATTATATCCTTGTACATGGCTATTTAGAAAGTTGTTGGCTCTACCGAAACCATAGTTGTATCCAACAAGAGGGCTTCTGCTGGGTCCTGGAGACAATTCTTTTGGAACTGCCCGCTTCACCTCAACCATCTTACCATTGAGTTCGTGAAATGTTTTGTGCAACACCCTATCGACTTCATCCTCTGAATTGTATGTTATAAACCCAAAACCTCGAGGTCTTTGAGTATTGTGGTCATACATCACTACCACATCAGTTATGGTTCCAAATTGATCAAAATAACTTTTGAAGTCACTCTCCGTGACGGTTGATGCTAGTCCTCCTACAAATATTTTTTTAGTGCGTCCGGGACCTGGTGATCCTTGACTGTTACTACTATTTCTATACATCAGGTGCTGATCATCCCTTGGAACAGCTTTCTTTGCTTCCACCTGATATTTGAAAAATAAATAAATTGCCCATTTCGTGGACACAAAAAGAAGATAATCTTAAACTTAGGAAGTCCAAAGAGAAAAGTTTCTTGTTATCCATTTTCAGCTAGAAGGCTGCAGGCTTGTTACTCTATTAAAACTAGAAATTGGTAGTCAATTGAATCTACACAGAAGGCATTTTCAGCAACAAAAAAGGAAGTAACAGCAATTCATACTACTGCATTTTCAATACATTGTAATATCTATTATAAACGAATAAACTACTCACAGTTCGTCCATCAATCATGTGCTTCTCCTTAATGACTCTTTCAGCTACTGCAGAATCGGTGAAGACCACAAACCCAAAGCCACGAGCACGGCCAGTGGTACGATCTCTCATGATCACAGCCTCCATCACTTCTCCATATGCTCCAAAATATTCTTTAAGGCGATCCTCATCTGTGTCCCAAGAAATCCCACCAATAAATAGCTTACCTTGATCTGATTCCATCTTTCCTGCAATTCACTATTCATTTGTCACGAATTTCAGTAAAACTTCCATCATCATAAACAATTTAGCTACGAGATGAAGGAAAAATAATCCTGGCAAACGAATATGTACTGAGGAGCAAAAAAATTTCTGAGCACATGAAGTGTATGGTTGAATTCAAAAATGAGATTAACAGGCGCAACTTTTGATATCAATTTTCCGGGAACTTAAAACATAAAACATGGATCTACAAGCCAATGAACGAAAAATACCACACCTTATCCAGAAAATCAGATAGGAAGCAGTACCGATACTGATCAATTAGCAAGTGAAAATGCTGGATTTAATTGAAAATCATCGGATCCTACATAATCAAACAGGATTCAATCTCGCCATCCTGAAAATCCATAATTTAGATACATAATCCGATCGATGAAAAATGAAAAGATTGCTAATTTTCTCCAAATTCAATATAAAAACTGACCATTGGAAGGGGGGAGCCCAGACGACAAAATCTGATAAAAAAAAAAACTAAGATCTAAGGAGAGAAATTATACAAAAATGAAAACAGAGGATGTGCTCATCCTCTCATTTTCTTCTCTCTCTAGCTCCCCCAAAGGTCCTTCCCTTCCTTTCTTTTTCTTGGTTATTCCACTCCTTTTAAATAAACAAAAGAAATGGAGTTCCTTAGCTGGGATGAGGGGCAGATATTGTTTATATTTATATTTATATTTAAAAATATATATATGGGTAAGAGAGAGAGGGAGGGGAGAGCGTTTGGCAACATCTGGTGTAAGAACATTTGGAGAGCCTGAGGCAGATGATTAGCTTTGAAATACTATGCATGTTACAGTGAAAAATTACACAAATATTAATTTGGACTTCCAATTTAATTCAATTGACTCATTATATTTATTTAGTCCCATTTGTCATCTTTTAATAAATTAAATTGCTTATTACCGTAACATTCTCCACCACACATTCACACAATAAAATATTATACACACTAGCCAGTAAAGTTTCTTTAAATTTTAATCACACATTCTCTAAAAAATAATATTCAAAACTCCATATTTTCTTTTATAATAGGAGACAAACGTGCTCGTTTTACGTAGTAACTCCATAACTTGAACATATGAAGATAGATGACATAACTGTCAATAAATATTTTTCTCTGATCATTTCAATGAATTCATACTTATTACTTCGACAACTAACATTTATACTTGTCATCGATTGTAATTAGTTGAATTGAAGAAAGTTGCCTTATTTGAAATCAAATTAAAGCACAGTTGTCCTATTGAAATTCAATTAAAGTGTAGTTATTCAATTACAATTAAATTAAAATATAATTACTCAATTAAATAAAACTAAAATACAATTACCTAATTGAAATATAATGAAAAAATAATAATACTAAAGTTACCACGAATGAACTTATTTATCTTTGTAAATATTTTTTTTTTAAATTAAGAACTTGTCCCACCAAACGAACTTATACATTACCATCTGATCGAATTATACAATAAATAAAAATCCGTGTATCTTACCGAACAAACTTTCATAGAATGATGCAAATTGCCAACTAAACCACACTAAGAACAGTTGTTAATTGGTTTCTAGTATAGTGATAGTCCAGTGATTATTGTCAAATCCTAGGGTCCACTAACCTCTTCGGGCAAACCCACCCCACAACAGTTCTTAAAAAAAAAAAAAAAAAAAAAAAAAAAAAAGAGT